GGCGGGCCGCCCGGTGGTGTGGTACGTAGTGGGTTTAGTACGCCCCGCCAAAACGGCTCCGAAACAAACAAAAAGGTGCGTGCCGCACTCACGAGTGACTGCCAGTGATATACTGGAGGAAGGTGGGGATGACGTCAAGTCCGCATGGCCCTTATGGGCTGGGCCACACACGTGCTACAATGGCAATTACAATGGGAAGCAAGGCTGTAAGGCGGAGCGAATCCGGAAAGATTGCCTCAGTTCGGATTGTTCTCTGCAACTCGGGAACATGAAGTTGGAATCGCTAGTAATCGCGGATCAGCATGCCGCGGTGAATATGTACCCGGGCCCTGTACACACCGCCCGTCACACCCTGGGAATTGGTTTCGCCCGAAGCATCGGACCAATGATCACCCATGACTTCTGTGTACCACTAGTGCCACAAAGGCTTTTGGTGGTCTTATTGGCGCATACCACGGTGGGGTCTTCGACTGGGGTGAAGTCGTAACAAGGTAGCCGTAGGGGAACCTGTGGCTGGATTGAATCCCCTTCGCGATGGAAATGCCCTCTTCCCCCAACCAACTAAGGGCAAGCACCTACTCCTATCAAACAAAATGAAAAGCAGCGAGCGGAGCTTGAAGAAGCGAGCCGCGCTAGTAGCGCGCATCCGTTTTTCAGCTGGCTTCAAATCAAAGCAGCTTGACTAATAGGGGCTAAAGCCTAAACCTAACCTAAGTTGGGAAAAGCCCTTTCTATATTATTAGTCAAGCCTAAACGCCCTGAAATCAAACTAAAGCGCTAACAAGCAAGAAAACGGATGCGCTAACGCGCAACGGATGTTGCAACTTGCGTTGCTTTCGAGCCCGTTTGCTTAGTAAGTAAGCTTGAGCTGCGCGAAAGGTTGCTTTTCTAATTATATAATAGTAGGCGCGTTAGCCTATCTATAGTAAGGGGCCTTTTCTTGCTGGGCTTGAATGCTTACCTTATTATTATGAAAAGGGGAAAGGGGCAGGGGGCGCTTCCCACTGGCGGCGGGCGGGCGAAGGGTCCAAAGGACACGTAGCCGGGGGCGAGTCAAAAAATCCAATAGTTCCATTTTCCTTCTTGTTCAAAAATCGGAAATCAAGACAAACCGGGCACTACGGTGAGACGTGAAAACACCCGATCCCATTCCGACCTCGATATGTGGAATCGTCTTGCGCCATATGTACTGAGATTGTTCGGGAGACATGGTCCAAGCCCGGTTTTGAGCAAAAAAAAAGAGTCCGCTCACAAAGCAAAAGAAAGAAGGAAAGGAGGGTTCAGCCACTATATGGATATTCTATTTTCCCAAAAAGCCTTGTCTTGTCTTGACGAGTACCTTACCATACGTTTTTTCACAGTTGGATTGATCGACTTCATGAAACCAGCCTTCTCTGCTTTTTGTATCAAGAACCCAAAATATGAGAAGATCAAGGTTTGTTTCCTCTTCTTCTTATGTGCCCGTGTGGAAAGCTCTTTCCACGTTGAAAGGGAACTCTCTCCTTCTCTTTTAATCGTGTAAGAGCTCCTCTTCCGATGGATGGTCGAGCTAGCTCTTCTGCCTTCAAAGTAAACCGGAACTCCTGCTCGTTCTGGACAGCAAACATCATAGCCCCAGCAATAGGAAGAAAAAGAGTAGCCTAACAGCTACCTCCACCGGTAAGACCGGGGTTGATTGACTTTTATTGATATCTAAGCATCGGCGCCTCTCGCTAATAGTGAAAGTGGTAGAGTCCGGCGCAAAATTGGTCATTCCATGAAGCAAAGTTCAGAACTTTAGTCAGGGTCTTCTCAAGAGAACTCATTCGTCCTCGCTTTTATCATCCCACCACCTTCCATTTAAACCAATATAAGTTAACTGACCTGTATTGTGCCAAGGTCGGGTCGAGAGGATAAGAAGAAGACTCTTTCCCAGTATCATAGCCGGGAGAATGAAACCATTAGTGGAAAGATCTTTTGTTCGATCTGCGTGGCTTTGTCTAGTTCATCTTCCTGGCCTTTCGAATGAAACACATGTTATGAAAGACCCGGGCCGGGTGGGTCCTGGGTCCAACAGCCGGATCGATTACGAGTCATCTTCTAGCCTTTTTTTCCTTTTTAGTCGGGTGGTTCAAACTAAATGAAAGAAAGGTCGAAAAACTTCTTCTATTGAAATCAGGTTCCTGGACTAAAGCCCTAACAGCCTATTGATCGGGAAAGGAAGTTCCAATGAAAGCGTTTCAAGGGTTATACATTAGCGATTGATAGACCAGAGTGGTTTCAATAAAAAAATAATAATATAAACCCTCGATCGAGTCACTGCACTGGGGAGCAGGGGAAGGCCTTCATGGAGGTTATCAGAGGAGTCCGTTTTTGGTTTTTTCCGGGTCGACATTCGAATGAAAGTAGGGGCTGTCAGGTAATGGAGTGGAGCGGTCGATCAAGAAGGAAGCTAGTTTGAGTGGGAGATGGATTCGTAGGATAGATTCTTTAGTTTGAAGGCTGTTCAGTCTGTCATTCCCTCCCTCACTGATTGACTCCTAAGGGAATTTTCGAATAGTAGAGGCGCGCAGGCAAGCGACTAAATAGGAAAGAAAGTAGTCTTTATCCGGGCAAGCATATAAATAAAGTACCGAACAGCCCACGTAAACCTGTCGTCTTTCCCGATGCGGAACTCTATTCCTTAGGTTCGTAGGTCAATAGGTTGGTAGGCGGAGGAGGTCTTTCGAGATCCTGATGTTGTCACACGAATTGCTCAAGAAGCTGTGATCACTCTACGACTTTCTGTTCAGCACGCTAGCTTGGCTTATGGCTGAAAGGGCTTTGCCACTGGACTTCTTTTATCGGCGTACCGGTATTGACCTTTTGCTTGGCACTTTTCATCGCTAAACCCTTGAGCCCCTTGTTAATGGGAGTAGTCTCGGTAAAGCCTCCTTGATGAGTAAGCCCTTTTAGATTAGAGATCAGGGTCTTTTACCCTTTCCCTTGTACCCAACTAAATGATAGGTTAAGAACCTCGACTGAACTGAAAAGGAAGAAGGGAGCTCTAGTATGCGGCTTACTCTTATGCCCTTGCTGCTTATGAGTCGCTGTCTGGAAATAGCACATGTCTCCTTCGCCCACGCTATATTATATCTTTCTTCCTGGAAACCTATTTGATGTCGTGCGTACCTATTCTACTACCTTTTGCTCGGAGCGGGTCGTACTTCAAACCTTCCTTCCCTTTCTCTTAAAGAGTAAGCCACTGAGTCATGAATAGGTTTTTTGAGGTGCAAAAGCAGGGTTTCCATCATTCTTCTTCTTGTCTTGTGGTAGGCAAGCTATAAAGGACTAGGATTCTTAGCCTAGTGAAGATCTTATCTAATCCGCTTCAAAAGAAGTGTCTGGACAAAAGATGGATCAGAGGGAAAGCATACCTAGCCACTGAAAAGGAAAAGAGGGTCTCTTCCCGGACCGGAACTCACATACGATCTAAGAAGGACTCCAACTGTCCCATCCGAGTGTTTTTCACTACTTTCCGACAGTCAGGAAACTCATAGGGCTCCAGGTATCCAAGCAGGGGAAGGTAAGCTGACGACATCTAGCCTTTCAGATTCCACCCCGGTAATGTGACTAGTTTCTGACTTAGCCGGACAAGAGGAGTGACCCTATGATGCTTCGGCATCGGGCATTCGAGTTTTTCTGCCCGGAGATCCTGCCTGATTAGGACTAAGGGATTGGCCAGACGCGGACAGGGTAGAATACTTTGCCGAACCGGTTCGGAAAGCATGATTTTAAAAGGTACGTAGAAAAAGGGAGAGACCTGCTTCTGCTTTCCCAGATAGGTAGTAATCTTCGGTTGACGGAGAGTGATAATATGTGTTTTCGTGCAGGGGAAATATGGCATAGCTGTCCGTTAAGTTCACTCAGGAACAACGGCTTTAGCTGTCCTCACTGCCACTAAGGGTAGCGGTTTTATGTAGCTAATTAAAGGGGGAGGGCTCGCGCTTTAACTTTGACTCTGTGCGATGACTTAACTCCTAACTAAGGAACAAGGGAAGAAGAGGGCAAAGCAACTCTAGGTCAAAGAGGAGATACAGCCGGGAAAGAAGACCAGACAGCCAGACCAGGGGAAAAGGCGTAAGGAGGGTTTATTATACGCAGGGGAATATTCCCACAAACCCTAGAGAAAGAGCCATTGGTCAACCAAGCACAAATAGCCTTCGTAAAAGGGACTTGGATCCTCGAACTAGCTGCTTTGACTTGCACCAGCAACGGACTTGATTGAATGTACCGTGTACCGACTGCTTCGCCTTTTGATCTTGGGAACCGGTCTAATGCTTCGCCTTTCTACTTTGACCAAGCCACGAATCTGCAGGGGAGCAAGGGCATAACCCCTTACATACTTCTATAAACCTACTCTTTTTGGGATCCGAACAGTCGAATACAGAGGAGTGGATCAGGTCCTCTTTTGGTTGGTCGAAAAGTACACTCATATTCTTTATCAGGGGCCGTGGAAGAGAAGTGGGGAATTCCGCTGCTATTTTGAAAGCTGTGATTTCTGTTGTTTAATAAGTTCATTTTACTGTTAAGAGGTACCAAAGGCCTTTTAAACTCTATCCAATAGGGTTTCCTCATATCATACATCTGACCTAATCAAGCGCTTTAGGGAGAGAATATTCACCCATGTTCTGAGAATCTACAATCGTTTGGCTGAGTATTCATTCCATAAGGACTAGCGAGTCAGCCAACTGAAGCAGCCTCTTATCTCTTTCAATCACATACGTAGGGAGGAGCCCCATAGGGGCCCCGGGGAGCAAGGGCAAGCATTTAACTAATTAATCTATTTCTTCAACCCGGAGTATTTTGGATAAGCGCTGTAGTGCGTGTTCATCGAGCAGGCGGAGGTTCGCGGCGGGGGTGATCTTATCTATTGATTCGATGACCCGATCAATGCTTTGACCTTCAATCGTTCGCGAAAGGCTTTTTTCTGGGTTTCCACATTACAAGAGCTGTAGGCGGTGCTGCTGAAAGACTAGTCTTTCTTTGTGCGGAGCAGCACTTCCCTAGTCCGTCCGAAGCAGTACCCTTAGCCTGATGATGCTATGGTCTCGAGGCAAGGAGTCGATTGCCTTCCTTACAGGGTTGGGGAGGATCCCAGCTGAGCGTAAGCGAAGTCATGGGAGTAGATTAACTCGACAGAATGAAAGCCCCTCCTTTCGTTTCTCTTTGGCATCTCACTTGGAATACAATGCATTCTTTCTTCTTCCCCTTCTCCTACCTCATTCATTGATCGAAAACAACGTCCGAGTTAGTTGGCTTCCAGTCGAGTGGTGTAGGACGGACTATCGGAGCTAATACGAAGATCAGAACCAAGCTTCCGAAAGGGGGTTCCTAGCGGGGCAAAGCCGAGCATCCACGATGATAAACATGTTCCCGATAGCTACGAAGGAATAAGGAGATATACAATGCAGAAAAGCACTAGACCAAGAGAGAGAAAGAAAGGCCCAGACCGCGCTGAGTAAAGAATGGCACTTTACTTTACAAATATGGGGCAATGAGAGCAGGGAGAGAAAGCCCCGGGCAGTGGTGTGTAGCACTTCGAAGAAAGAACCTACCATCCAGAACAGAGATCAGCTCCCCCACCAACATCCAAACCCATTGGGTGAAAGCCCTAGCGGATCTGGGATGCTGCCGAAAATCCCGGGAAAATGAAAAGTGGAAAGATTGAAATTGACTTCTCCGAATGGATTTCGGGTTTCATCTCAAATTACGGGGAAAACGCGAACTTGGACGATTTCAGAAATTCAAGTTCTTTGGGCATATCGAACGCCTATAGCCCTTTTTAATTTAAGGTTAACTATGTAGGTATCTTCCCGGTTGAATTGATCATGAATAGTATGACACTGACTCAGCTCAGATGCTGATCCGGGAGAAGTCTCCTCTGAAAGCACCTCCTGCAGGACTGGATTCTTGTTCTGAACCGAAGACCAAAGAGAAAGAATCCCTTGTTTCTAGGATCTAGAAATAGAACCGGCATAGCTTGAGAATGGAGGCTTCTCCTCATCAATAGGTACCGAAGCCGACCGAAAGACTTTTTTTAGGAATCTTTCCCCATAGGGGTCTGTTACTCGCGCCTAAGCTGATGTCTGGAATGGCTGTAGTGGGATCTTTATATAACATAATTCCGACATCGAATGATTCCCCACAAGGTGCCTGAAATTCTCATTTTTTACAGCAGAAGTACATCCAGATTGTAAAAGTTTCATTCTCCGGTGCCCAATTCCATTCCTACCTTTTGCTTGGTGATTTTACTTTCGATTGAGGAAAACGGGGCTTGCCCTAGTATTCTAGTTCTTAATGAGACGTAGTAAAAACAAAATCGTAAGATGAATATTCTAATTCCTAGCTAGGAGGACTACCCTACCCTCTTTATTGACTTCGCTACTGAGACCACTTCCAAGTAAGAGCGCAAGCCGACCGACCATACCATCTTTGCTGCGGAGGAACCTACATGTGAAAAAAGAACCGATCATACGGAGAAAGCCTTCCCAAGGCTTGCTGCCAGATGCTCCTTTCTTTGGAACTACTAGTTAGTCTTGCCTATGAAAAGAAAATAGTCAAACAAGGTTTCTTGAGACCGTGAACAACTTTCATCTGATGGGCATATCTCTGTATAGAAAGCGGGACTTTACCCTGTTTGGTGGGGAACAGCCTGAGAGCTGAGTGAGAGCTCGACCTACCTTTCTTTGATCCAATCCCGGCAAGCTTCTTCAGTGTGAAAGTGCAGAATCGTTTCTTTGCCATTTCATCTCTTGTCGGCATATCCCCAGCTTTTAACGTAGGGTAGAGTGGAGCCAGGGTCAGTCTCATCCTTCCTTCTATGCCTAGTGGCTTTGGAAAGGCAGGCATACATACCTTGACTGGTTGAGTACACCCAGGTAAGGTCACTTCCGCTACAGTCTACTTCCTTTAGTTCTTCGACCTTCGAACCAACGTCTTCAAATCAGGTAATTAAGTTCCCAGAGGCAAAGGGGAGAAGAAAATATGCTTTGGCGGGGAAAGATTTGTGAGCTCCCTCTCTGACCCTCAGACCAATAGCAAAGTCTAGATCAGCAGTGCCAGACTCAGAGAGTTGCCTTTCTTCTCGTGGGAGAGAAAGAGGATTGGTCTTACTTTTCCGTGCTGAGAGGACAGATCGTGGGGGATAAAGATGGAGCAAGGAAGGATGGTGATGAGCCCTCGTTCTCGTCTACTGGTTGTACTTCACGTCTCAACGAGCCTTTTGACGGTGGGAAGTTGAGCAAGTACCATCCCGCTGCACACGAAGAAGAATGGGAGTTAGAGCTAGAGACTAGAGAGTTGATTGACTAAGAGTATTATGGACTTCGGGACTGACTACCCACTTTGAAGACATTGATTATTACGGACCGAGCGAGGGAATATGGATTTAAGCGCTTAACTGCTAGTTCCATTCAGGGATGGAAGCAAGGAATCCAATCCAGGAAAGTGATCAGTCCCACATCGGCTAGACCTTATCCTAAGGAGAGGGGAGAATTCGATAGCAGTAGCTGCGGACATGTCAACCCTTCCACCAGTTCGAGTTTTAGTTTGCATTCGATCTATCAATCAATGCCTGTGCTTTCCGACCGGGAAGTGGGACTAAGAGCATTTCCTTCTGAGCTAAGAGAATGAAATTCATCCTCTCAACTCATACAGACTGATGCTACTACCAAGACCAGGTACCGGGGGAATCATATCGAGCGAAGAACCCTACCTTGCTGTCGTATCGAAGCGATCGGGGAAAGGGGCTTACCCGGACCGAGAAAGTGCTTTCACGGTCTGC